CCCCCCCCCCCCCCATTACCTTTGCTTCGCTCCTAAACCGTGGCCTCCTAGTTTCATTGTTATCAGTCGGAACACTAAATCGAAGAGACTGAAAGGAATCAGGGAAACACCGCAGGTTCAATCCTCGTTGAGGCTTGAAGTATTTATATATAAAGGTTTACCCTGCAATTGCTTTATTAGCAGCTTACTGATAGAGCTATAAGCTACAAGCAAAATTAATTCCAGTGTTGCTTGGGTTTGATTTTCTCCTCTCACTCTGTGATTGGTCTGGAAAAAAAAAAAACTCGCCCCAATCTCTCAACCGATAAAATGCAAAACCAAAACCAATCGTGACTTGACCGCACTCGTTTTCCTGCGCTTGAGTCAGTTGGCGTGTTTCTAAAGAGTCCTCATTGGCTCCTCGTGTTTACTATGGGTTTTCGTTCACAACAATCTATCGCAATGCGACATAACGGTCCAGTGATCAAATATGTTCAAGGGCTCCTTGCCTTCAAGCGATCTGGATGTTTTACACCATAAAAAATGGAATCTAAATTCGTGTCCACTTGTTTGACTCACTCAGGCAAAGAACGTGGACGTGATCGCTGTTCTGATGCACTGGGGCAGAGAATACCGTCCCCGAATGAACAACTTGCAGAGAGAGGTCGCTCAGCATCTGACGTCACTCGGCGTCCAGCTGGTCATTGGTGCCCATCCTCACATACAACAACCGTACAGCTACTTTGACAGCCGATTTGTTGATTACAGTGTGGGAAACTTACTTTTTGTCCATGACTATACTCCAGATAAGGAGAACGTAAGCATTACATCCAAGAGTGAAATGTGCATACCAAATTATTGTGGAATTCAAGCTGTCAAAGAGCCCCTTAATTCCGATTTTTATTATTGCCTTAAATGTACCATGCATCTTATTACGCCCTAATTTTAAAAATGAACCCGATTCTGTTAACCCTTTAACCCCTAAGAGTGACTGGGAGCTAATTCCTCCTTACAAGATCACCCCTGAATAAAACATTCAGGTCATGAGAATAAGGGAAACGATCACCAACTAGAGAAGTTCTTGATCGTTAAACAAATTCTCCTTTT